TACATAAATTGACTTAAAATTCATTGCAAGGCTACCGGAAATCAATCCCCCACTTCCAGCAGATTTTCGGACAACCCAAGCCCATTTCATACAACCACTTAAACTCACAAATCAGCACTTAATCAACCAATTTTTCGAAGATTAGAGGAGCCAACTTACCAGAAATCCTCAGCAAGCAAGGCTGGAGCTTCAGATTGAAGGGAAGATCGGCGGGAAATTGGAGGAGCTTTCACGCCACTATCCAAAAATTGAAAGAAACCAAAAGGGATTAAAGTGCACCCAAGCCAAATTAGGTGAAAAGAGATGAATTCATGGCTGATTCATACCAAAAAATCCAAAAATTCCACACCCACACAAGCTGAAACCGGCAGCAGGGGAGGGAAGAAGACAGCAGATCTGGAAAATTTCTACAAGGGAGAAGATTTCTAAGTCCTAGACTTGTTCTTGAACAAGAGGAGAACAAATATCATCAAGTTCTCTTACCAATTTTCAGCTGGAGGCGTCGGAAATGGCTGGTTATGTCCGGCTGCAGGGAGAAAAGAAACAGAGCAGACACGCGAAAATGGCTGGGGAAGAAAGAAAGAAAGAAAAAAAAAAAAGAAAAAGAAAAAGAAGGAAAGTCAGTCGGCCTTATCCCAAAAATCTTTTGACCCCTTTAGGATTTGAAAATTTGACTATTAGGTCCATTAATAACGTTTCCTCACCATTAAGTCCCTAACTCAACTTTAATGTTCTTGAAATTTTTGGGGTATTACAAGTGTAATGATAACATAGACCATGTAAGGGGGTTTAGCACAAGTTGGATATGATGCACTTGTAAACATAGAACTAAAGAATCGATGGAATGCTTTCTTTATAACTTATTCCAAGTGTGACAATATTAATAAAAACCTAATATAAACGTCTAATGCATGGATTCTTGATGCAAGATGCAAGGGTAAATGTAGCATGAATGATAAGTTGGTAGAAAAATTGATGGTTTTATGACAAAAAAAAAAAAAAGGCATATGGAAGGAAGTGGCTTGCAAATATTGCTCTAAAAGCTTTTAAAAGAAAATGAAAGAAAATTGTTAATATTTTAGCTTATCACCATCCTTCTTCCCATGGAGAAACATATACAAGGTGGGATATAATCTAAAGTATTTTGTTGCTAACTTTACAAATTTAACTTATACTTGTCAAATATATTTTTATGCTTGCTTAATTGTTCATAGTCAAAATGTAGAGGATTGTGTTTTTATTATTAAAATAAGAATGCATGTGTAGAAGTATCTAAGGAATTAATAAATTCATTGAAAAGAAGCATGATCATGAGAATTTGGTCTCAAATTAAGAAAAACTCCTTCATCCAAGGTCTTTTGTGTAGCTAGTTAAGTATTGTTTTTTGTTGTGCATTTTGTTTTTTTCTCTTATATCATTTTTCCCTTTTCACCTTTGTTCAGAGGTTGCTTTAATGAAGTTTTTCTAATAAGAAACTTGGCCATTACCTAGTGTCTCTTAGTCTTTGTTTGAATTATTTTCTATCGTAATTTTTTGTTAGAATTCTTATTTTTGCATTTTTTTGGATAAAATTTAGCTCTTTTAATCAAGTTTTTACTCATATTTTATCCTAAAAAAGTTTCTATTTTATCCTTATTTTTTAATCTAATATAATGTGTTTTAGGTGTGATTTTAATATAATTTTTTAGTGTGTGTGAAGCTGTTGAAAGCTAGTTTAGATATCATCAAATTCTAATCCAAATTGAGAGCTTGACCTTTGGGTAATATTTTAGTTATAAATTCTTTTGCATATGTTAAATTAAGGCAATTTTTTATTTTGTAAAAAGTAAGAGATAAAGCTACAATTCATTTATTGACCATTTAACCCAATTTAGTTGATTTCAATGCAAGAATTTTGTTGCAAGCAAAGTTATCAATGCTGTTTACTGGTCAGTACATACCGCTTTTTTAATTTGACTGAAATTGTATAAGAGGAAATTTTGTTTTGGTCAAAATTTAGATGATTTTATCAAAATTTGTTGTAGCGGCTGAAATTTTGGTGTATCGACCGATATATTAAAATTTCAACCAATACACACCATACCCAAATTAAAAAAAAAAAAAAATTTCCCAATTTCAAATTGAAGTGTTGCCAATTTTCCATCCTCTGATCCTCGACATCAAGCTCAATTCCTCGCCAGTGGTGCAGACATGCAGCTGCTGATCTCTTTTCTTAGTTCGCAAATCACACATCTAGATCTTGGACTTAGATTGTAGTTTCAGGTTTTGCCATTACTCTTTCTTTTTAATTTTTGCAATTTTAGATTGTAGTTTTCCAGTTTCACCAATGGTGCAGGCGTGAAGCTACTGCTCCCTTTTCTTGGTTTGTAAATTGCACGGCTAGATCTTGGACTTAAAATTGAAATGTAAGTGGGTTTCCGAACAATTGGACTTGGTTCATGAATCGCACTCCCTTGTCTTGGTTCACGATTGTAATTTCAGATTTTGTTGCTGTTCTTTTCTTGAATTTGCCATACAAATCAATTCAAATTTAAAAATGGTAAATTCCATTTTTGGTTTTCAACTTTAATGTTTTGCATAATTTTCATTTTTTAATTTTTTATGTACTTTTTTTAGTCTATCAACTATAAAAAATGTATGTTTTAATCCTCTATCAGTTACTTTGTTAAGTTTGTCTAAATACACTCATTGTTTTATCT